TAGAAGAAAGAAACTGGTAAAATCTAATGTGGCACACTAATTATGATGGGGGATTTACCAAAACATTCGCTTGCTCACCCCATGAAAGCTCTTCAATCAATTATTTGACCTTACCTTGAGACATAGCAGGAAGACATGTTAATGTCCAGCCGAGGATGGAGTCCAGCCCTTACAGCTGGATCGATTTAGCCCAAAAAATTGGTGCCAAAAGCCTCATTTTAGTGGGGCAGAATTGACCCAATAGGGCTGTGTCTCCAAACAAACACCAAAAAATAATGAAAAGAAGTGAAGATCCAAATAAATAGGAGAAACCCTCTCCTACCTTCCAAATCCAGCTCTTGTCGCTTAAAATTTGCGCACAGGCATGCTGGATATTCTCTGAAGGAAGATAACTCGCACGTTCGGACTGGGTGTATTCGCACCCTTGCAGAAGACATAGCATATACTCATCACCTTTATCTTATTGACAAATGAGTAAAAGGGGTAAGTTTCTAAAGAAACTGTGGTGCTGCGTCGCCGGGAGAGTATAACAGCTAGGGGTAATTGAGTATTATCGTCTGAGTTGACAACGCAAATTGGCCACAGTAAAGAGTTCTAAAGCTGAAGTTTCGAGCGTTGGCCCCTCGTCAGAGCAAATGGAAGAATTTATTTATTTATTTATTTTTTTATGCCCGTGACGAAAAACATCTTTCTCTAAGAATAAAGTAGTTGAATAAAAAGCGCTCGTTTATACCGTGGTCAATTTCTCCATTCGCTCTGACGAAGGGTTAACGCTCGAACGTCAGTTTTTAAACTCTGTACGGTGGCCAATTTACGTTATCAACTCAGATGATGATACTAAATTACCTTTTTTTATTGTTAGTCTTAATTATTTGCTTTACGTTATTCATGTCTTGTTGTTTGTTATAATGAAATATTTAAATTTTTAGCGGTCTGCTACTTTTTGGTAATTGTTTTCGTCTTTAACAGCTCCATTTCTGTTCAAGAGCTTTAAGATCGACCAGGTTTCAGTACTGACAGGGAGACAACCCTGTGGGTTTGAGGCCGTGTGACGTCAGTTATTTGATACGCTAGTTGAACTCATATTGTTTGTAATTTGCAACGGTCGATCACGGTAAGGCGCAAGTGATCCCGAAAATTCTTCATAAATTCCGCAAATCATAACATTTCACCCCCCAAATCCGCTTAATGACAGTCAGATAAATAAAGTTTACTTACCTTAATTTGTCTGTGTTGTCTCGAGTGATTTTGCGGGGTTTTGGGACGGTTAATTCCCCACTTCGCATCAGTGCAAAGTGGGGAATATATTAACCGTCCCAAAACCCCGCATAGATTCTCACAATAAAAGGCACCTCGAAAATGAACGTGGAGTAAGGGTATTCTGATGACTTGATCGAAAGAGAGCATGCATGTTATGAAGGCGTGGGAAAGGAAGAAAGTGATGTCAGACAATTGAAAGTTCCAGTGCCTGGTAACGGCGGCTCGAGAACTATCGTTTGAGATAGTAGCCCGGCAAGATGAAGATTTTTACTCGTGCACCGAAAACACTATATTCAGACTAGCGGGGCTGCGCACATCACATAGTATGAGTGAGGCTTTAGACTGACATTACAGTTGTTAGCGCGTCACGCTCAAATATAGACATTCTCTCATCTCTCCAAAATCCAGAAATAGGCCTCATTGTCATGATAATCTTTCTGCACAATAGATGGAATGACTCATCGAAAATCGATGACAGATGAGATTCATCATAACTTCACGTTATTGCAGTGATTCATTATGGCCGCTACGGATGTACATTTAAAACCAGTATTCTTACTCAGCAGCTTCATCGTATGCATTTTAGTACCGATTCAAGGTAAGTTGAGTCGTAAGCTTTTAGGGTTTACGTGTAATTCATAACGGTAAGCATTGAAATGACTGTCACTGTCACTGTCTTCACTTATGCTTTGAAACTGGAAAGTGAAACCGGAAAGTTCTACTTCGAATTTGCTCCGTCATGCCGTTCGCTCTACCAAACTTACTTTTCTGACTTCCAACAAAGTTGCGCTGCTAAGCCATGGCTGGTGTGCACTGATAGAGAAGTTTTAAAGTTGTATTTGGTAAAGTTATTGCTTCTTTAAAGCTTCAGTGTGTCGTATTCGGGTGAAGTTGCTCATCCATTAAATAAGGTCGATTTAGCAGTTCAAAGCTTACTGTTTTTCTCGGAAACATTGTAAATTTAATGCTTGTTGAACCTTCGTGTTCCCTTTGATCCTCTGTATTTAAATTGGTTATAATACAGTTTGCCGCGCTATGCATAGATAGCCAGCGCTCATGTCCGGAATCAGGGAAATTATGAGAAAATCATGAAAGTATCAACTTAAGAATATAATGGTAGGTTGGAGGGTACATTTGATTGATTGAATGGTAACTTATTATCACTAGAATTACTGTTCTCATTATTATCTTCATTATTTTCCTGGTCTTTCATATCCTATTTTTGAATTAATACATTGATTAATTAATGTTTTTATTTCTTTGATTTCATTTATCATCAGTCTGTGGTGACATGCGCTTCACAAATGACAAGCCAAAAGATTCTATCAAAGCTTCTCTAGGTGATAACGTGCTTTTACGCTGGACCTTTACATATAACGATGATGGAAAAAATTCAGCTGGCCCATGGCGTGCTCGGGGAGTGCACGAAATCATCTTTGGCCAGTGGAAATCTACATATGGTAAAATCCTCTTTTTCGAGAAAATTGTAGCAGTTGACAATGGTGGTAATTTCACTGTGCGAGATGGAAATAAAGATAAAATAGACTGGAACTTCTCAAAATACCAATTAACATTCACAATAAAAAACATGGCTCTTAAGGATCAAGCAAAATATGGGGTGCATGTTGAGCTTGGCTTGGATCAGAGCCCCTTGGAGCATTTTGTCAACGTTGAAGTTGTGAGTAAACAAGTCAGCAAAGATCAAAGCACAAATGTCCGAAATGGTGAGTTTAAATAATACAATAATGTCTTCAATACCTTTAACTAAAAGAAAATGTGATTGTCAACGTATTTTCGCCTTTGCGCATAAAAACACAAAAATCAGTCTGTTGTAATCTTCCATGTACTTTCACTATGTGACACTTTGTTTTCTGAAGATTATGATCCTCAAAATAGTGAGATTTTATTTCTTATCTAGTTTCAGCCTATACATCCGAAACTGTCGACATCTTGTTTACACGATCAAAGGATGACTCCTCGAAAAATTTCCGCAAGTATGAAATCTTGAAAAAATACTCCCTCATCACTCTTGGAAAAGAAAAAGACGGAAAGAATAAATTCTTTTGTAAAGATAACACTAGTCACACAGCTACCTGCGAGGAGCGTTTCTCTTTTCGCTATGTGAACAGCAGCTACGTGTCCTTCCAAATTAGAAATGTAACGTCTCAAGACGCAGGTCTATACTTCTGTCAAACGTATTTCAGGGGGGTTAACAAAGAGAACGACCCACAATACGAACATGTCAATTTGATTGTACAAGGTAAAGTATGCACGTGTACCTGCTTATAATCTGGTCATTCTTTCATGCAGATTTTATTTATTAGCTCCTTCATTCATTGCAATATTTGAGAAGTTTTCAATCCTTTTTATCTGAGGTAAAACAAAGTAAATCTGACATGCAGAACAGATGGGATTTTCTCAGCCATTCTCTATAAATTAGTGACGTTTCTTTAATTGAGATGGAAAAAAGTCCTAATTGTTCCTTTCGCTTCATTTAATGAGATTAAAATTCCCTCACTTCTGTTTATGTTTTTAATAACACTATTCGAATATTTGACCTACAAAATGACTGCATTTTTTTCTATTTGGTTGGCACAACTTGGAAATGTGGCCTACACACAAAATGCAGTACGAAGAATGTGAACTGAATTCAGAATACAGACCAAAAAGACTAGATTATAAAAATTATAATATTTTATCGCGTTTAAGGTCGACTTAAACAAAAAACTGTTTTTGTTTTTAGTCTACATTTTGCACCCGGTCTGCTGCTCGCATTTATTATTATCTTTTTTTTTCCTTTTTTTAAAGGTCACCCTACAGTTCCCACTACTTCAGCTTTCACGACTACAAGTGATCATTCTGGTTGGTAATTTGCTGATTGACTGAAAACTGGCACTATAGTAACGTATTCTTTAATTGAAATGAAAAAAAGTATTAGTTGTTCCTTTCGTTTCATTTTGATGAGATTAAAGTTCTCTCACTTCTGTTTATGTTTTTAACGACACCATTCGAAAATTTTACCTAAAAAAAGAATGCATTTTTTTTTATTCGGTTGGTACAGAGTGCATACTAATTGGAAATATAGCCTACACACAAAATGCAGTGCGCAGGATGCGAACTGAATTCAGAATACAGACGAAAAACCTAGATTGTAAAAGTTATAATATTTTATCGCGTTTAAGGTCGACTTAGACGAAAAACTGTTTTTGTTTTAAGTCTACATTTTGCACACAGTCTGCTGCTCGCATTTACGACTAACTTTTTTTTCCTTTTAACATATCACGCTTCAGTTTATCCTACTTCAGCTTCCATGGCTACAAGTGATCATTCTGGTTGGTAATTTGCTTATTAACTGAGAACTGACAGAAAAATGTAAAGTGAAAAAAAAGAAAGTAAAATAAGTTCACAATAAAAAAATAACCTGGGACGCAATAGCTAGAGAACGAGTCATTAAGAGTAGAATACAGTGGCTTTAAATTGCATAAGAGTGAAGCAATTAACAATGACTCTTGTGCATGATTTAGTTGGGTGATTGGTTTAAAGTACCCTGGATACCTTGAAAGGAACGGCAAATCGTGGAAGTACCTTAGATTGGCATAGAGTGCTGGTATGGTACAAAATGGAGTAGAGTTGTCGAGGGAAATTGAAAAGTGTGAAGTTACGTAAAGGGGCTTGGCCCGGGAACGTGTGAGGGAGTGGCAGGAATACATGAAATGATAAGGCAATTTGGTCGGTTGAGGAGAGGCTTGAAGTAACGTAAGAAGAAGCGTAAAATTATCACTGGAATTTTACTAGTGGTTTTATGCAGCCAGGTGATCTGAAAGATTTGAAGTGGCGTGAATTGGAATGGAGTCAAGCCATAGAAAACATGATGGAGGTGTCCTGCAAGGCGTGGGGTCTAATTTCCTTCGCTGTAGTAGTTCAGGTGGCTGTTGTATGGCGGCTGAATAAAAAACAGCAAATGGTGCGAACTAAAATTTGTCAAGCTCTTATATAAATAAAGTACTTTCTGCTTTATGTTCTATTTTTATAATGTCAATAAGATCTTTGATTCCTTTTCAGGCCTCCAACCTTGTTTTATTATGCTGGCAACGATAACCGCTATACAAGCCCAGTACCATTAGGGAATGTCACCTGGCAAGCTCCAACAATCATAATGATAATAATTGTAATATTAACATTAATATCACAAATATAAACTATTAATCTTCTCGTTCCTTAAGATGAAACTTTTTGCTGATGATTGTGCAAAACAAAAACGTCGAGAGAAGCTATCTTAATTTTCTTAACTTTAGCATGTGAACCTGAGTTATTAACCTGTAAATAGTTATTGGTCAGTGCACGACTACAGGCTGAGTTGGCGTAGAAAAAAATGGCAAAAGTCCACTGTTGTTACAGATACTTTTTTTCCGAATTCCAGCTCATGGCATGGGTGTTAGGGATAGGTTTATATCAAAAACCCCGTTTACAGACGGGCTCTCCTCCTTTTATTTCTTTCCGCTTCTAAAGCCGTTTTTTTTCCTTCCCGCTTTCTCGTTCGTCTCTTCTGACCACGAGCCTGATGTAGAATAATGTCCAAGAGGACTCTTATATATCTCGTCACGTGCCTTGTTGTGCTTAGTCAGGCTAATACTGACTTATGAATAGGATATGATGTAATCATATAGAATGTTCTAGACTGTTCCGCATGTCTAAAAAATTTGAGCTCCGGTTATTGCTATTAACCGATAAGCTGACAATAAAGCTGAATATGAAAAAATATTAGGTGACAACTAACTTTGGCACCAGAAGGCTAAATAGCAGCAGTGTATACTCCTATTTCAGTTTGCCGCTGATAAGGTATTTGTTTTTTTGTAACTTCCTGAGAGCGACGCCGAAATAATTTGAGTGTTATCAAGATAACTAATACAGCAATGGAAACAGGCAAATGATCCACACAGGACTTATGTCCTCTGATGATCTTGTTGGCGCCTTAGAAGCTGGAAAATAGAAAAGAGATAACATATAATGAATGGTCGGTGAGAGCAAATGGGGAGCTTATGTAGGTATAATAAGAAACGGAGAGATAAAGATGAAAGATGAGAGGGACATCAACATCAATCCCCCTCAACGGTTGTCGAAGAGAATATGAAATTTACCTTCCTGCGTTGTTGGAAACTCGAGTTCGGGGGAATCATTAACTCTTACGATGATTTCCTTACTATCTTTGCCCGCCTGATTATAAGCTTCACACAGGTAAACTCCGCCGTCGCTTCTTTTTAAAGAGTTGAAATACAGAGCTTGGTCTCCAATGGTTTTCCCCAGTCTTTTCCATTTTATGCTAGGTGTGGGAAATCCACTTGCATGGCATTTTATCATCAGCGGCTCACCATTCCTCATGGAGATGTTTCTTTGGTGAGGAGTGTTGATTTTAGGTGGATCTGATTTAAAAGAAAAAATCCATATTAAAATTTCTATGATTTGTGACATTCTTAATTACATGTAAGGCTACACAAAGTTTTTTGTTTTGTCTAGAAATAACTATAGAGGCAGTCAGCATCAATTCGCAAAAGTTTCCATGCAATGCAAGACTACCCCACAATCAGCTGAACTCACTTTATCCCTCACAAGTTAAAGACTGTTCATGAATTCAGTTTACTCTTCCTATAAGTTGGCCATTTTTTTTTAAATAAACTAGACTGGTCACCTTGATCAACTCGATGCTCAATTTTAAAGAGGAACGCAGATCATTGTTAAAAGGCATAGAAGGTAAATAAATCCCTTTAATGTGTTAAGTTCAACCTCTTTCGTCAGATCAAGCAGAATGTACAACAATCGCGAAATTACCTTCAAGACGAAGCATAACACTATCTGTTAAGGGAGTACGACTCAAGTCAAACTCAACTTGAACGCCGTATTCGTTTACATCTCCTTTGTTCAAACCGTGTACAGTGAATGCCACTTGCAGGAGAGACATGTTAAAGTGGCAGCTTATCTTTTTCTCGTAGTTTGTTCGTACCACTTTTGCGCCGCTATTGTTGATAACCACCAACTTCTTTTCGAGGAATCCTGGATGCTTCCAGACGCCGAAAACCACTTCAACTATAGTATTGCTCCATGTCTCTGTAGGCCGCAACTTAAACTTCCAGTTTAGAGTTACATCACCTTTGCTTTTACCAATCACGAGTTTGTCAGGGCCAGACACTATCCGTGGAAGCCTCAAATGGCTGGAAACTGCATGCACAATATATATTGGGAGAAATATTATCGTGTTAGGTATGTGTATCATACTGAGTGGGATTTGCAAAATGAAAGTGAACTTCATCAGAATGGTCTTTTTGGGGCAAAACTTATAAAACTATCTCAGTAGCAAAACTACTCACTATCCCAGAACCCAAAGAATTATATCTAACTGAACTGAAATTAATGTGGTGAAGTGGTTTAAAGTAGCAGAGATTTCCATTTTCCGTCATAAATTCCATTGAGATATACGTTCAGTCATTAAATCCAAGCATAGAATATTCATGTTATCCCAGCAATAGCCCAACTACCGAGCTATGATAATATGAGTGCATGCTCCCGACACTGTGCGTACTCCCACGGCTGAGAGAAGACTTGATGATGAAATCTTTAGATAACATACTTCAGATGAAAGTCGAACATTAATCTCCACAATGTCGAGGTAATGGCCAGTTTGCTGAGCCTCAAAACATTGAGCTTGCAATCGTTGGACATAATCTATTGAAATGTCAAGGCGCTTTTCTGAGAATTTGACCTTTAGCTATAGGCGCCCAACAATCTATAGAAAACGTTGTTTACGTCGTGGAATAAGGCGTCCAACCTACCCCTGGAGAGGTTAATCGCCTAAATTAAACTCTGCTTCTGGCTTTTCTTAATCAGCTACTTTGAAGCCAGTTGTATTAACTTCGATATTGCTATGCAGATTTCAACCATCAGGGCTTGAGATGAATCTTTTCGCAAGCTATTAATTCACACTAGTGATACCTCATCTCAGCCGATGCGCTTCACTGGATCAGGCACTTAATTCACTTTCGACTAATTATACCTCTTCTGCTTCGCACCAGGATAACAAAGCGCTAAAAATGCACTCAGACAGCTCACTGTTTCTTGACTATTATTACACTCAGCAGTTTAGCATAATTATTCATGTCTAGAAGGAAACATTTAAGAAGTTCAATAGCTACGCAGAAATTTGCATTACGTCGCATCTGTATATACTCATATATATCCGCATCAGACTTACCGAAAGTTCCTCCACCTTGCTATCACTACAATCAAAATTACTCAGAGTGATAACTAGTAGTGTTTCAACTCACCTACGGTGCACACTGACACAAGATAAAAAACTGAAAGCAGCGATGGTGTCTTCATATTTTTGCAGAGAAAAATCGTCTCCCAAGCTAGTTTGATTACCTTCACTATAATCACATTAAGGGCTCAAAGCAAAGTTGTAAAGCTACTTTCAAAACCAGTTTAGCCTGCTGCTAAAGCTGTGAGAATGTTTCTTGCATGCTTCCTTCCTAGAAAAATAGACGCCAAAGGGTCACGACAAGGCAGGTCTCCAATGACCCAATCAACGAGGTTTTAATCAACAGCCAATCTTGATAGCGAATACTATCAATCAATCAAATATTTTTATTATGTACGGGTACATGAAAGGAAACGTCAGAGGTTATCCTATCGTTTAAATATCTGCTGATGCTAACAGCTATCATAGCGATTATTCTAAGCACTGCTCACGCTTATTGGAGGTCGTGACCGCCAAATTTTTAACAT